GTAGGCACTAAATAAGTGTTTGTTGAATAACTAAATGAGTAAAATGACAAAAAAGAAATCCAGGAAAAGAGCTGTTTTTCACAACACCAATGCTGTTTATTCCTCTCCTCCCCCTTTTTTGGTAAAAGTGATAAGCTGAAACTTATTTTTATGAATCATTATATATGTAACTGTAACTTGGGATTCATAGTCATTGGAGTGCATTGTTGTATTTTTCAGGCTGGCTTATTCATTGACAAAGGCATCAAAACAACCAACTCTAGTGCTTCTGACCCAAGGGAATACCTCTGTTTGGATAACAGTGCAAGGTAGAGCTGGTTCTTTACAATCACACTCAAGCCATATCTTGCCAAAGCAAAACTCTCCGACTCAAGCACACTGTGTTCTTTTCTCTGGTAACACATTTAAAATGAAGTTTTAAAAGTTTGTAGAAGGATCTTGGAAAAAACATTTATTCTGTGGTTCCCGGTACTATGGCTGTGCTTTTTTCTCTTTGTAATACCAAAGAAGTTGATGCTTTTCTCCTTTTTCACAGCTATAAATTGATGTTAGAGTTGTAGAAAGAGAAAGACAATGTAGAGAGATATGTTGAAAAAGGTTCCAAATTTGCCATGGAGTATGATTCATTGAAAAACAAGTTGAACTAAGATGTTTAGTCTAATCTCTGAAAACCAAACCCTATAAAATTTATTTTTAGTGGTCAAAATGGAACATTGCATTGAACCTGTTTCAAAGGGACAGATCCCAGTGTGATGATCAAGCTGGTTCTGTTCAGTCATTCGTAGCCTCAGATTTAGTTCAGAACCTAGTTCATAGCTAGGTTACTGTTTCATAACCGTAAAATGTGGTTGCGATATGGATCAGCATTTCAGCCAAGCTCTCCTACATGTTGTATGTCAGCCAAAACAAATAAAATGTCTCAAATGAAAATAAAATTTTCTGGAAAAGATGGTAACTTAAAGTCACATTCAGTAAAAACTGTACATATTATTTTTCTGTACTTCAAGTTGATTGGCCCGTTTATGGAGTTGTTAAGGTGCTAGATTTAATAGTCTTTGTTGATAGATACTTAAGAAAAGAATACCAAACCCAACGGTTCATACGGGAATAAAGCAGGGACCACACTGTAGGTTGGTGACTCTGACTTCAGTGCAAGGCTGGATCCTTGTGACACATTGGTAAGGCTTGAGGTCAGGAGAAATCTGGGAAAAGTGCGGTGGGTAAAATTACTCATCAGGATTCCTCAAAGGTCAAGTTGAGCCTGAAATATTTAAAGCAATGATCAGATAGCATTTGAAAACCCAGAAACTGTGGACATTATTTAAATAAAATACAAGGTACTGGGTACCTAATAGCTGACCAGCATATGAAATGAAAGAATAGAGGAGATAAACTTAAGAAGAAAAAGAAGTATACAGATGACAAATTATGAATGAAGAAGAGAATATTAGCTGGCAAAAAAATATATGCGAAAATGTCACGGCTGCTTTTGTAGTTTCGAAGAATTTATTATAATTGGTACAACCAGTAATGTGTACTTTGCTTAGTATTGCCAGAAAAGTCCTTAAACATAAGCAACCTGCTCTCTTCTCTGACTGGAAAAATTATTTATATATGTATATATGTGTGTATATAACAATGGGTATGTATATACATGAATGAAGGAGTAAATATAGTTAAGTCCATCGATATTTTAATTAGACTTGACAATAAAACAATTTACCCACAATGGCTTAAGAAGTTCTTTACCAGACGTGTATGTGATATAGTGAAAATGATAATCTGGGGTGGGGGGAGGGTGGGGAGAGGAAACAAAGAAAATGGTAATGTTTCCTCCCTTCTCCGTTATTTATTTCTCTAACAGTTTATAAATACATATATTGATAAGGAACTAGACTCCACTTGTAAGTTGTTATTGAAAAGAACCGATTGCAGAAGAAAAGTAACAAGACATTTGGCAGCTTGTTTGTACATTTGGTTTTGTATAAACTAGTGTGTAGAATATGCCCACATGTATTCATCCAATTCAGACATTAATAAAAATGATAAAACTAACATAAATGATAAAACTAATATAAATGAGTAATAAACCAGCCCATGAATTTAACATCGGGCTCAGGGGATCCAGAAGATATTTAGTCTGTTCTTCAAAGAAGAAGTTGACTCAACAATTAATCAGATGAGTCTTTCCTTATTTCTTCAAGATGTGAAATTACAGGAATCCAAAGATGGGAAATTTTAACAAGAAAGCCCTTGGTTTGAAATTGGAAAGTTTCATCTAGAGAAGTGAAAGAATATTAGAACCATTTAGAACATTTCAAGAGGAGAACAATTAAGGGAGGGTTGGGAAGTGTGCTGAAAGCTCATTGATGATGATAAAAAATTGGGAAAATTAACTATTTTCTATATATACCAAGTGGGAAAGCAGATGAAAATAAAGGGTATCAACACAAGTGGTCGATGATTGATTTATACGGACAGGAAGTTCAGAAAAGATGAGAGGGCTATAGCAGAGAATCAGAGGTTGCTTTGTAGTACTTTTTTTTTCTTTTGGCTTTCTTTTAGAGCATTGTGTAGTTTCTTTTCCAGACCTCTTCCATTTGCTTGATATTATGTAAAGACTGCAAAGCTACTTGGCAGTAACTACAATGCCAGAAGAGTAGATGTTGGCTTAGAGTCAGATTTTTTACCTTAGGTCAGAGTAGTTACAGTAAGATGACTTGGGTGATATAATCTAAGGATGGATATGACATTCTTTATCTCCACTGCTACTGCACCAGTCTACACCTTCACCACCTGTCTGAAATACATAAAGAACCTTGAGACTGGTCTCCTTATAGTCCATTCTCTAGAATCTATTCTCCAAATAGCAGCCAGTGATTTGTTAAAAGAAAAAAAAAGAGATTTGATCATATCACTTCCTTGATTCCATGCTTCCATCTATTTTCCGTCACATTTCCAATGAAGACCACGTCCTTACCTGGCACTTACCCACCTCTCTATCCCATCGCCCTTGCTCCTTACTCTCCAGCCAACTTGCTTGTTGTTGCTGAACATGCTAAGCTCACTCATGCCTAAGGACATTTGCACTTGCTGTTCTCTGTGCATAGCCGCTTTTCTCATCATATACATTTAGTGAGCACCTACTACGTGCCTACAACTGTGGTAGTAAAAATGCTGTGTAGTTTTTGTCTTTTCTTCCCCAGCTTTGTAAAATTAAGATGGAAATGATCTTTATACATTTTTTTTAATAGGTGACCTTATGGGGTTATTTGAGTTGTTATAGTGGATAGTTTTTGATACCAATTTTTTTGACCTTTTCATTAAGGTCCTTATAAGTGTTTTAGAGAGAAGAGAAAGAAAAGTTCAGTCTTTATAATCAATAAGTCAATTAAATACAGTCTATTTTAAATGTAGGCAATTTTAAGATATTGAACTCAGTTTTGTCTGTATCTAAAACATTTAACTAGCACACAACTCAAATTGTACTTGAGTTCACAGTATATGTATTTTGAAATACATGATTAATTTATTGAATAAGTTTATTAGTAACATGTAGTTTAAAAATTTCTGAAGACATTCCAGATTGTCTGGTCTGAGCTTTTTTGTTTGTTTGTTTGGAAATGATTTTCATGCTTACAATGTTTTACAGTGTCCATTCTATAAGTTGATTTTAAAAAAAATAACTAAAATATGACAGCAGTTCTCTGGAAACTTGTGTGGAAATAAATGTAATTTTAAAAAGTATTTGAAATATAAATAAGTTATAGCTTAAGATTTTTTTGTTTGTTTGTTTTGGTCAAATTTAAATCCTGTTTCTTGACACGTAAGCTTACAATTATAAATAGCAAATTTCTATTGCCTTTTCATTACTTAAAAAAAATCTGTTCTTTTTTTATTTAAACCCCAGATTTCGGCCTCATCAGGATGCAGACCCTGAAAAGCCACGTGTTGCTGCTGTAATTGACAG